ATTATTTTAAATGAATTTAGTTTCGCAGGAAATACTAGAGAATATCAGAAGAAGTTAATTTTTGTTTTTTTATTGAATAACAAAATAATTTATTTAAATTATTTAAACAACATTAAGTCAAATACACTTAATGTACTTATATGTAGAAGACTCTTTACTCTAATGAATATTAGAGTAAAGTTAATACAACTTTACAGTTATTAAGTGATACAAGTTTATGGTCTTTGGAATATGTTTTTTGAAATAATTTTAGACTAGGTATATATATATATATATTATTTTATATTAAGTCAACGAAAAAAATGGTTTTAATTCAGGAAAATATATATATATATATATATATATATATATATATGTGACCTTATATAGAGCAAAAAATTTTAAATCCTTATTAAACTAAGTATATATTTAAATAGAAAAACCTTTGTTAATCAGATTTTTGAAAGGCTTAATTGAAATATTTTTCTTTGAAATTTAAATTCCTGTTTTTTCTGTACTTGATACTTGATAATCAACCTTCAATCAACCTTAGTTGTAAATTTGAAAATATTTGTACATATATATATATATAAGTATACTAAAGTATTAAAAGACAATCAATAGAGGACATTAAACCAAATACATAAAAAATTTCAAATTACACTCAAAGGACCACTTGATTTTTAAAGAAAAAATCTTAAGCAATACTTATAAAAGTATAAAAATTTTTGTTTCACTTTTTTTTTTTTTTTAATAATATACTGTTAATAGTCCTTTTTTTTCTTGATAATCCACTTCGTTAGCCATTCTTATGGTTTATAAGAACTTCGACTTTATTTTTTTTTTTACTCATCCCATAACTTTTTTGTTTTTGTGTTTTTTTTTCTGCACTAACTATGTGCTCTTATAAAAATGATGTGAGCTTTAAGTTTTTATGAAAACCGCAGATTTTTAATACCTGTTCTTTTCTTTTATTGTCATTACCCATATTTATCTATATAGTTTTGCAAGTTTTTTTTTTTGTAAGAAGAAGAAAACAGAATAAAATAAACAAAGTTGTCATTAATGCGGTAAGTGTTATATTGCTTTGTTGCCATTAACGTTTATGAATTTAATAGCTTGTTTTTACCATGCTGCGCTATGCTTATATACATATACATTTTGTGTTTCAGGAGTTTTATTTTTTAAAAAGAAGGTTAATAATCTTACATATCTTTTTTTTTGCTGTTTTTGTTTTTTATTTGAATTAAGAAAAAAAATCTCTCTATACGCAAAATAAATGACTCATTTTTAGTTTATTTTTGCAAAAAAATAAAAAAAAATGTTAAAAATAATCATAAATATTATTTTTTTGTTTATTCCCATGTAAATTAAGATTGTTTTTATGATGTTATGTAATTCTTATGAATTTTTACTAAAGCGTAAAGGAGTTAAAAAATAGATGTGTCATTTATGTCGTCTATTCTGTTCAAGTTTCGATTTGAAAGAATATTCACTTTCGCGCATAATTTTAAAGTTGCACTAATTATGAGAACGTAATCAGTGAGTAGTCCTAGTGGTCGAATAACTTTGCATTCACTTGCTAACATAAGTAATTATTTTTGAATAATTATACATACATATAGTTAAGAACTAGAAACAAATTCTTGACATTCAAATTATATGGACAAATTCAAAATACTTATTTTAAATAGCATAAAAACTAAATATAATGACACTGCATTGACAAAAAAAATTTTTGTTTTTCTTACATTTCGGGATGCAAAATTGAGTTTCTTGCGTTGACATTTCTCTTTTCTTTTTTAACAGATAGTTTTTTTAAAACTCTTTTATTGCCATCCTCCTCAAAATTAAATCAGCCTTTTGACAATTTTCTAGAAAAATATTTAACAAAAATATTTAATAAAATTTACATTATATTAAGTATGTCAATTTAAATATTACCTGACGTGTATACTGATAATACTTATCGTCAAAATTTTACTAAAAGCATCCAGAATTTTTTGAATTTCCTTTCGTTTCGAAAATGCATTTTGTATCATTTGGAATGATAATTAAAATTTAACTATCTTAAGTTTGCGTTATTTTGACAATGCGGAATACCACCTATGTTGTTTTTTCTGTTGTTAATCTCAGAAAATTCGAATATTTTTTTTTATTGGAGTACAGCCTGCACTTATACCAATATTTTTCAAGACATCTGGTTAGTAAATGTCTACGAGGTGTCTTTTGTCAAAAATGGGCGAAATATTAAAAAATAGTTAATCAAGTTGACTAATGAATTAATGTCGAAGGGTAGACCTCAATAATATCTAAATTTTTGTTTTAAATTTTTTTTTAGCTTTAATGAATATATTGTATACACTTTAAGTAATATTTTAACATCATACTTAATTAAACAAACTTTTGAACAAAGAATTTCTTCGTTATATATCGCACTAATTTGCTAAACACTTAGTAATTGATACAACAATAAAAATAGTTAAATAAAAAGGATGTAAAAATTCTAGACACAATTGATTATCACATTAGCTCTAACTTATATTTACGTTGAAAATTAAAATTAAATGTTTAGTCAGCATTATTTTAGTTTTTTTTTTATTTCGTATATACTTAGTCTACTTTATTATGATATGGGTAGAAAATTTACGATTTTATTTTTAAAAAATCTTAGTGAATTCTTGTAAGATAAATTCTTTTTATTATTTGTAAGGAACTTATATTTATATATGTATGTATGTATACATATTATTCATTGAAATGATTGTCCTAGTTATCGCAATACTTTTTAAGCTCCCGTAAAATGATATAAAAATATTTAAGAAGCCTTTTTTCAATGTTATTTTATAAAGACGTCAATAATTTCGGGTACTTTAATATTTCACACACAGTTTTCTTGTGTTTAATACCGAAGCAATGTGGTCTGGATCGAATTATGATATTTAGTTCATTAATGAACTAAAAGATGATCTACATTTATATACAAATAATACATGCACTTGTGCTTGAAAATATGACAACGTGTACTAAAATATTACCCCTATCTAATTTTGAGCTAATACAAAGACAAAATATTCAGATAGCCCATCTTATGTATACCAAAAAATTAATAAAAACGTGTTATAATGGACTTTTTACCAACTTTCTACCCAATATTAATTAAATTTATAATTTTTGCAGTATATTTACTCAACTCAAGTTTTATTTATTTATTTAACTTTTTTTGTATATTTATACCTAAGACAAAAATTATATTTTTATTTATTTAGTACAAAAACAAAGAAAAAAAATAATCCAATTTTCTTAGCGTAATAACCTTATTTATTTTTTTTAATGATAATCTGGTTTAAGTCATGCAGGTACTGTTAACACATTATCCTTTTGAGAATCAAATAATATTTTTCTTTGATTTAATTGATTTTGTATTTTCGGATTTTATTGCAAAAATTTTTATTTTAAAATTAAAGTATACATAAAATATTCAGAAAGAAAAAATGTTTCAAGTTAGTATATATACTTACCTCCCCAGGTTAAATTATCGATATACAACAAATTATTATAAAGAAAATTTAACCCGTTATAAACTCCATTTTTTCTTTATAATTTATTTAAATTTCTATGGTATAAAAATTCCCAAAATCGAAATATATTTTATATGTGTTTAATTCTTGTTAGTGTTGCTGTGCAGCAAATTGTGGTTAGTGTATACAGAAAATTTTATTGTATTGATTGCTTATTTAAAAATTTATTCCTTTCCTGTTATTAGAAGAAAAATGAGAAGTCTGAAAATCAATTTCAAGAAAAAGATTTAGTAACTTCTTAAATTATGAAAAAATTGTCTATAATCATTCGAGTCTATGTGGAAATTAAGTTAAAGTTAAAATGGAAGAAATATTGCCGAATCTTAGAACCATTATCGAAATTGATGTAAAAATAAAATTTCAATGTTTTTCTTTTTCAAATTTGTGTTTAAATTTAAATACTAGAGTATAATTTTTGCAAGAAAATGTACTTAATTTTTACGATCACATACGTGTGACTGTTTAAAAGAACTAAGTCGTTCAGAGGGAATTAAAGTTCATTTTTCACCTTACTTATTGTAACTTAATAATAAGAAAATTTGTTTAAATTCTCCGAATTCCCCGAATTAATCCGAAATAGTTGAGAATAGTTATTGTTGAGTACTTAAATGAATTCTCTGTTTTTTCCTCTATAAATCTAAAGGCGTAAAAAGTAATCAATTAAATAAAATTAAGAAAATTCGAAATTTGTATTTTAATTTTAAGTAAATTTGACATTTTAAATAAAATACTCATTGGAATATGTGTAAATAAATACTCTGCTCAACAAAATTTTTTTATTTGCACGCTTGTTTAGTTGGAACGGAAATATAGTCGATCCGTTCGGAAAAACGTTTGACTTTTTTCGATTTCTGAAAAAGGGAGTGTGAAATGAAGTATATAAATAGGTGACAACACTGAAAATAATATCAATTGCAAATATTAAATTGCAAATATTAAGTACAATAGGTTAAAAGGGTTAATTTGAGAAGTGAAAATGAGCGTTCAAAAATTTATTTTTTAAAGGTTAAAAACAGGAATTTTATTCCGAAAAATTAATAAATGTGGTATATTGACTTGAATTTTAATTAGGTTGTATAAGTATTAAATAGTTAAATAACAAACATTTTTATAAACGTGGGTATGTATTTACTTACTGTTTGTAATAGTTGGTTACATAAGTACACCAACATGTACATACACAATAAAAGTTTATAGAAAACTTTTGATGCTTTTGTTTTTTTGTTGTTTATTTTTTTTTTTTAATTTAAGAATCTCCTTTCATTTGAAAAAACAAACTTGAACAAAAATTGATAAAATTCGTGATTGTTTTATTTTTAACCTTTTTAAGTAGAATAACGTCTTTTTATTCCCCATAGATTGTAAAAAACAAAAAAAAAAAGAAAAAGTAATCTAACATTGTATTTTTATTTCTTTTTTTCTCTCTTTCTCTCTTTTCAGTTTGTGTATAATAAATTTTAAAATTAGCAAATAAGGAATTTGGAAGGAAAAAAAGGATCAAATTAATTGTAAAATGGCTGTTAGCAACATTGTATGTGAATGGTTGCGTGCTTTAGGGCTAGGTCAATATGCCGAGAGTTTCTTGGATAATGGATATGATGATTTGGAAATATGTAAACAAGTAGGAGATCCAGATTTAGATGCAATTGGTGTTGTCAATCCTCAGCATCGTCACACATTATTAAAAAGTATAAGACAATTAAGGGAGAAAGGTGCTGCTAGTGTATATTTTATGTTAAGTGATCCAAGTTCATTATCAGAAAGTATGGAAATTTTATGTGAACCATCGGTTAGTGAAATTGAATTAATATTAAGACAGCAATTAGAAGTTGATGGAATTCAATTGACAGCACATCCATATTCAACGCCGGTAATTTATATATTTTTTTTTAATATTATTATTTTTTATTTACTACATATATACATATATTTGGTTCAAATATTTTTTATATTATAAATATTTTACAGGGTCCATTTTTAGTTATTGTACATGTCAAAACTTATGGAATCTGAATTTTGTTAGCCATAAGATTATTAGAAAAGTTGCAGTTTAAAATAATTCAACCATAAAAAAATTTCAAGTTTGAAAATTCTTATCAACCTTTGTACACATTTTTAGAACAATCATTAAATAATTTTCTAAAATAATCTCAGATTTTCTTGGAATACTACTCTCAAATAATGTGTAGAAACTGCATCACATTCTTAATTCAAACATTTGATCGCCCGATATACAGAGTTTGTATCCTAAAGTATTCCGAAAAATATAATTGTGTAAATTCGGTTTGTAGTATTGTAAAGTTAACATATTATTTACATATGCAAAGTAAAAAAATTTCAACTTTTATAATTATTGTATGTTTATATATATGATCCTCCTAAGTCGTAGAATATCAATAATGCCGAAAATAACTTTATTATGGTGAAAACTTAAAAACTCGCAAACCTAAGAAGGCGTAAATATTCTTGAGTTACAGATTTTTTCAGTTTGTCATAAATTAATTCGCATTTTACATTCAAACTTCATAAATATTTATCAATATTTTTACTCATAAAACAATAAAAATTAATAAAGTCATAAGATTAAAAACACCATTTTGAATAAATGCATTAAATTGGTTCATTTGCTATAACCAACTCTAATTATTTAAAATTAAAATAACTACAATCGAAAAAGAAAATAGACCGAATGTAGGTCTTAGTTTATTATTAAAATATTGCAACATTATATTCAAATGGGGTAAAATTTAACCATGATATGAGGGTTTACAGATGAAAAAAATTCTTTACTTGGATTACTTAACTAGAGTTAAATTAAAGTACGCAAAATTATACGCGTACTTATATACGTTGACATTTTACGCAATACAAAAATATAATATTTTTTAGTATACATATATCTATAACTTTGGACCTAAATGATAGATTTTAGGATATCAATGTGTGCGTGCAATTACATTTAATTATTCTCTTATTTCATTCCGGTATAAAGGTACTAAATTTATTACTTATTATCACATTACCAATATTTTAAAGGACTAAGTAATATGATTTTATTTGAAAACTTTTGAATTATGTTCACAAAAACCGCAGATCATTACGAAAACAACAATTAAAATAACTGTCATTTCTTTGAACGCATTTAATATAAGTACAAGTTTTTATGTTGCGATTTGTAAAATGCCATTTCGTGTCTTTTTAAAATTATTTGAAAAAAAAAAAAAAATGTTTTTATTTTGTCAAAAAAAGGAAGAATTTTCTTTAAGAAATTGTGCTAAATTTTATTATTCAACGAATTATTTTTAGGATTTTTATTGCTTGTTTTTTTTTTTTCTATTTTGCTTTTCATTTTCTATACTGCTCCTTTTGTAATGTTATCCTATAAAAGCTTTCTTTAACAATAGAATTCTTATTAAAATTGTGTTTATGTACATAATATGTATGTAAATATGGTTGTCTGTATTATATGGAATATTTTAATATATGTACGTATATGTGGGAGATGTAATCATAAAACAATACTGTACTTGTATAAGAAACCTAAGTAACGTATCAATAGATAAAACATTGTTAAAATAATCCTTTATGTATGTATATATGTGTATATTTATGTACACATGTACTTACCTAAATACAATTTATGTGTTTATATTGGTTTTCGTTTTTTATTTAAGTTTTGCACTAATAATTTTATTCAATTCAATTCGAATTGATTTTATTTTTATACAATTGTTTTAGTCAATTAAAATGAATATTTTTATTGAATAAATCAACCATTAAATTTTATGTATATGTATGTATATGGATGTATACAATCTGATTCGTATATATATGTGTATAAGCAATTCGCATAAAAGTAAAACTTCTTTACTACAGTAAATCAAATTTCGACGATCGAATCATTTACAAATCGAATTGTCTAATCAAAACTAAGGCGATCGAGTCTTTTACAAGGAGTAATAAAATTTAAGCAAGAATTTTTTTATTTTTCTTAATTTCATAATATATAAAATCAAAGTTTATTAAAAAATATATGTAACCTACATAAATATTTTAGTTTAAGCATAATTTTTTCGGATTCGAAATTTTATTTACAGTCACGTCTCACTTAAAAGCAAAAGCCTATTTGTAACTGAATTCGATTTTAAGAAAAACCCATATATAAGTAGTAAGAAGCTTAAAATTTTATTATGTTCTTATAAGCGGATTGTACTGTATCTCTAATATAATATATAGAAAATGAATATGGTACAATGTATATATTTATAATAGATTTATTGTCGAATATGTTATAAATAATTTTATATTGAATACTATATAGATATGAAAATAAAATTCCATTTTTAATAGTATGACCTATATTTTTCGATAATCTTTCTTCAAAAAAAAAAAACAAGAATTATAATAATAAAAATAATAAAAGAAAACAAGAGAAAAAATCTTAAAATTCATAAAATGCAAAAAATTTTTTTGTTTTTTCTTTTTTATATAACAAGGACTTTATCTATATCTAAAATATATCGCCTTTTTTTTTTCTCTTTCCTTATTCCTTTTATTATAATCCTAAGTGATTAAACCGTTTACAATTTTTATGTAGATTTTCTAATTATGTAGCACGTTCTTAAGGTAAATTTTTATATATATACCTATTATATATATGTATATATATATGATATATTAAAACACACGTATATATATATATATATTTGTACCGAAAATTACAAAATGACCTATAAAAAAAATATATAACTCACAAATTTAAAAAAAAAAAATTCCGTTATCTTGAAACTTTTTAACAGAAGAATCTTCCCCATTTTCTTTTTAGCACTTTTTCATTCTTTTACAAAATTTTTTATATTCACATACATATATATTAAAATATAATATGTATATATGTATATATAAACACTTTATGTTTCTAACTCGATATGCTACAATCCATATTATCATCCTGTGAAAATTACGTGATATTTCATTTCATAGCTCTTTTTCATATAGTTTATAAGAATGAATATATATAAACATTATACTTATATATTAAATATGTATAAGAATGAAAATTTCAAGATATGAAGTATATGATATGAAATGACATTAAGATGTAAATAACTATGTTTAATGTATATATATATATATATATATTCACGTGTAAATATATTTTACATAATAATATATGACATAAAAAAAAAAGGTTTTTTTTTTTTTTTTTTTAATTTTTCGTGAGATAATTTTAGTCGTGCATCTTCATACTTATATAAAATAATTAAAAAGTCGTAACGCCAACATTCTAAATTTATCAAAATAAGAAATTTTTTCTTGTAAGAATTTTTTGTTCTTTTCTTTATTTTTTTTTTCCTTGATCAAAAATAAGAATACTACTTTAGGTAGGTCATAATTTCTGGTTATCAATGTAGGTACATAATATGTAATATATATGTAATATTATATTATAAGTATATGTATACAATGGAGAAGAAAAAAATTCAATATCTTTTCTGTTCTCTTATCAGATTTTCTTATAATATTCACAACGAAAAGAAAGTAAAAATATCTAAACAAATATATGCCATCTTCCATATTCTTCTGAGATGAACAAATTTCTTTTCATTTTATTTATTTTCACTTGTATAACATTTATGATATATCAAATATATATAAGTATATATATATACATATATGCAAAATATTACATATACATTTATGAATATTATTTCTTTAAGCAAGTAATAAATATAGATAGTAAATTTTTATAAAAAAAAAAAAAAAAAGATTTAAAAAATTTTTTTCTTGTGATTCAAAGTTGATCATACAAGTAAAAATTTTTATTTTTTTTTTACTTCTTACTATAAATTACTTTCTTTTATTTTTTTTTTCTTTATTTTATTTTCTTTACTTTTCTTTTTTTCATTACACAATACCATAATATAAGTAAGTATTGCATTTCTAAGTGTTAAATGTTAGGGTAATTTTGAATCAAATAAGTAAGCAATAAAAATTTTGGTTTCGGTTTTAAATATATTGCGGATGTTATTTATTAAAAGATTATACAAGAATTCAATAGTTTTTTTTTATGTTTTTTTTTTTCATTAAAATTCTACAATATTAACAATATTTTTTATGTTTTCTTGTTTTTCGTTTTCAATCATTCATTTAATCGTTATTAAATCTAAAAAAATAAGTTCAAGAATAATTTTAAATTAAACCCGTGATCACACAGGAAATATCATAGTATTTTACATATTACGTCGAAATAAGTAATACGAATTTTCAAATTATTTTCTTTTATAAGTGTAGATCGGTTTTTGGCATTTCAAATGAGCTTTCATGAATTTTCTGTCAAAAAATTTTTAACTTGTATATTTAAATGGAAACTACCAAAGAACACCTACTGTACGTCCAACTTTTAAAATTTCACAAGACGTATAAAAATTTTTTCTTCTTTTTTTTTTGTTATTTTTTTGATTGTTACTTATCTCTTCTCAAAAAAAAAATATTTAAGTATATACCTATATTATTTTGATTTAAAGGCTACATGTTATAAACTTTTTATATTTTTTAAAAAATGACAGTTATACGAGCGTATCAATTTCGGTATACGTACAACATTTTGTAATACGACACCATTTAGATTGGGCACTAAAATTTAATATATTTTAAAAACTAGATTAAATATGGAAAATTTCATTGGAATTCAATATAATAAAAACATTAGATTAATTGATGTGAGAAATAAATATCGTTCGTTTGCTGCAGCAGTGACATAACTCAAAAAATTTAATTTCTGAGGTATTTATACAGGTATAAGCACAACCTCTCTATAACAAAAACAACATTTCTCTAGAACCCCGAAACTTTAAAATTCGCTTTTTT